CCCTCTACTCCGCTCTCATGAGACCCCACCTGGAGTACTGTGTCTAGCTCTGAGGTCCCCAGTACAAGAAAGACAAGGACCTGTTAGAGCAGGAAAAGATGGAGCTGTTGGAGCGGGTCCATAAGAGGGCCACAAAAATAATCAGAGGGATGGAACACCTCTCCTGTGAGGAAAGGCTGAGAGAGTTGGGGTTGTTCAGCCTGGAGAAGAGAAGGCTCTGGGGAGACCTTATTGTGGTCTTTCAACATATAAAGGGGGCTTATAAGAAAGATGGGGACAGACTTTTTAATAGGGCCTGTAGCGATAGGACAAGGGGTAATGGTTTTAACTAAAGGGGGGTAGATTCAGACTAAATATAAGGAAGACATTTTTTTACTGTGAGGATGGTGAGGCACTGGAACAGGTTGCCTAGAGAGGTGGTAGATGCCCCATCCCTGGAAACATTCAAGGTCAGGTTGGACGGGGCTCTGAGCAACCTGATCTAGTTGAAGATGTCCCTGCCTACTGCAGGGGGGGTGGACTAGATTACCTTTAAAAGTCCCTTCCAACCCAAACTATTCTATGGTTCTGTGGTCTGCCTGGCAGTAAAAAATGGTTTGTGCTTCATGTGAGGGTGATTTTTCTGTTGCAGATCTTGTGGTAATGCACTTCTTGCATGTGTGAGGCGGCATGGAAAGCCAAACGAGTTCTTGAACAACGTGGAGATTGGCAGACGTACCAAAGCATACCTTGGATTATGCTTATTGCACTTAGCATACTTATCTATAGAAACTATTATTAAATATATAATTATCCGTGTTCATTTCATTATTATTCTCCAAGTCCTGCTTTCATGTTAAGTCTGTTGTCACCTGAGGTTGTCAGTTCTGCAGTGACTGTACACAATGTTGAAAGTATTTCTTCATTGTTTAACTTGAGCATATAAATCAGTCATTCTTTTCCAATGTGACTTTTTGATAGGCACATTTTTACAACTGAACTGGTCTCTTTGTAATGTGGCTAAAAAAATCGGATCAGATTCACCAGGGAGAAGTATTTACCACCAGAATAGACCAGCTGTTTGTCTAGCTTGCTGGTTTGTTTCAACAGATGTCTGAGCCACATGCTGCAGAGGAAGATGAAAAATCGGACACAAACATTGGTCATTTGAAGAAGTACAATATTTAACAATGTTCATTAAAGTATTTTAAAGTCTCTCTTTATTGTAGTGAAATCATTAGATAACTAGCTCTGTGTATCTGTAGGTCATAGGTCATATGTTGGACCATGTGTATGTACAGTTTATTAATGTAAGGAATTAACACTGGTTCTATCACAATCTGAAGTTAAAAGTAATTTTTAGATAAAGGAAAAAATCTCCACAGTTCGGCAATATGTTGTGAAGTCTCTGGATCTGTTGTTTTAGATCTGATGTATTGATCTTTCATTGGCTATAAGGAAAAATATTGGGTAGAAAGGAAAATAAGTATATGAAATGAAAACTACTAATGTAAAAGGGCTGTTCACATGAGCTGCTGTTAATATCCATGTATTTTCTTATATTGTTACGGTGTGTCACTTGATTTTCAGTATTCAGTGAAGTAAACCAGCGAAGGTTCATTTTCTATCTTCATCTTGCCTTTGTCTAAGCACATGGTATACTGACTAAATAAACTGTAGTTTGCTGTACAAGCATGAATAGTTTTTATCCCTAAAAGCATTAGTTTTCATCTTTGTTTTTTAATAGTTATTTATTAATTTTTATTAGAGAAGGTATCAACACTATAGATTACTCTGCCCGACCTGATGTATTTCTTCTATCGTCTTGTTCTATTATATTTGTCTACAGATCTGTGGTACTGGCTGCATAACATCTGAAAATCTTCATGCTGTTGAGGCTTCTCTAAATGCCTTCAGAGTTTCTCAAGGCATATAGTATATATTTATGAGGATCCTAAGATGATCTTACTGTCTGTTACATGGCAAAATGAAAATAATACTGGGGCCAAACTATCTTGAGTGTTTATTAACTTCAGAATCCAAGCAGAAATGCCTGCAAGTTTAAGAACCTGCACTTCTCATTAATTTTGCAACAATTAATCATTCTATCTTAACTATGTGGCTCCAGCTGGGAACTCACTATTAATGATTGTCTCTAAAATTTCAATTTAATTCCTTTAATTAATTTTATAAAAAGAAGCAACTTTGTTCCATACACTTTTCAAAATACCTGGATGCCTGGGAGATTTGTTTGTGCTTAGTGCACTGCGTTTCAGCGTGGCTTATTGACTTCAGCTTAACATTGCGCTAAGCATGCCTGGGTAGTTTCTGATTTGGAGCTAGTTTATGTCTGGGTGGCTTGGAGCACAGGCAGAGTGGGTTTTCTTCTACTTACAAAATTGCATGTAGGTCTACCCTTAAATGCTTTGCTGTCCTTTATAAAACCCTTTTTGTCTGTTATAGTTGCATGCCTTGTTTTACATTTACAAATGTTCCCCTTCTGGGTGAAGTCCATAACAACATGTTTTGTATTTAAATTATAGGTATCTATACTAGAGTCCAAGAGAAATCCTGTTGAATTTTGTAACTTTTCAATAAGCATCGTCTAGTATAGATGTACAAATTCTATTCATTCCTGATGCTCAGAAGTGAGATTGTTCATCTGGAACTAATAGTAAGGGAATAAATTATAAATATATATAGTATGTTCATAATGCAGTGTATTGATGTCAGCTTTGCTTAAGATACAATGCATTAATTATCTAGAAATTTCAAACACAGCAACTTACAGCGTTAAACTAGTTTCTGGGAACACTTGGTAAATTTGTTAAAGCCTATTTTATTTTTTTTTCTCAATAACTTGTGTATATAAATGTGCAATACGATACGGAGTTACCACAAGCTTCTCAATTCTTTTCGAAGTTGAATGATGATATGCAGTCATCCACGATGCTATATGTAGCTCTTAACTTTCTAAGCTGAAATTTTCTACATGGCTGTTAGAGTAAGTGTTTATATGATGGGGAGTAAGTATTTCTTCTTCCAAAACAGTAAGTCTAGAGCACCTTCTGAATGTGGTGCCAGAGTTCTTCAGCATGGAAGAAGTTGACTGAAAAGAGGTTCAGTGGCTAGTGGAACGGGCGGAGGGAAACACGGCCTACCTTTTTCATGTTATTTGTAGCCTGTCTGATTATTTGTTACCATGTTATCTTTCCTCAGATTGTTAAACTGACTATTTATAGAATGCTTCCAAAAAACCTTCAGAGAAGAACTATGATGCAGAGGCTGCACCTGTTCCCAGAAGATGTGAGTAGTCATGCAGTTACATTTTCATTCCTGTGTGGTTTGGCAGTGAAGAGGGAGTGTTAGCAACAGCAAAACTCTTGTCATAAGAAGGTAAATTAAGAAAAATCAGGCTGCTTTTTATTTATATATCTAAATGTAGTTGAAATGTTGATGCTTTTTTCTTTATTATTTCACAAAATTGTGAGATGTAAGACATGCGTGAGATTGTCTTCTGTATTTAGGTCAAACACTTAGCATGAAGAATGCAGTAGTGCTGACAAATTTTGGTCTGGATTTGGCAGGGGAGTGGTGGTGGTTTTTAAACAATCAGATAGCTAAGACTATTCTCATCTGCCTCAGGTTATTCCAGAAGATATACAGAAGAATCTTCTACAAGAGATTCCTCAGCCACGTGCAGTCCCCAAGAGGTTAGATGAATATACACCAGAAGAAGTTGCTGCCTTTCCAAAGGTTTGGACTCCGTAAGTATCTTAGATTTTTTAGAAGGACACTTTGACTGAATATGTACTATATAGGTTCTCACCTTATCAGTAAGAAAAAAAAGTAATGTTTTTTCTCTTTGTCATCTTTTTTTTGGAGAGAGGAGGTCATTAAAGCAAAGAATGGTCATTTAGAAGGGAGTGGTTGCTAAGTTTTTTGTATTTCTGGCCTTTCTTTTAATGAGAAAAGCTTTACTTAAAATCATGTTTTCAACTCTTTACTTCATCAAAATGAGTTGAGTAAAAGATGAGTAAAAAACTTCATTACCCTGTTTGAGTTGTATGTGCTCTATAATACATAACTGTTAGTCGTAGCCAAAGGAAACACCACACGGCTGTGAGGGGATGATTCATTGCAGGGGGGAACCCTTCAGATTTTCTCCAGAGGAGGGGAAAGAATTCTGCTAAATTAGACCTTGGAGAGTGGATCTTTGGCAGGGAACATACCATGTGTTTATTTTGATAAATAGTTTCTTTTCCATGCACAAAATCGGTTCCACAGTAGTTGTGTGGCATATGAATATTTGTGGTTTGCTTTATACCACCACACGCAGCATTGAGTCAACCTGCTAGTGAAAACAATGCATTACATTTGAGACATTCTCTGATTACTACCAGTATGATTTTTCTTGTGTTCATTTTGAGAGTCCTATTTAAGCTCAAGATTCCATTACGGTAGTCAACAGAGAAATTAATTTTGAAAGATGGCCCCTTTCCTGATTATTCTAATGAAATTTAAGAAGAAATGTAACAAGTAGGGAGATGGGGAAAGGTGTAAATAAGCTAACACCAGGACCAACTTGATGGTCTATCTCCAGTTAAATTACTGGTATTTCTATTTCTGTAGTAGTTTTTAAAAGGTTATGTTTCTCTTTGTCCTGTAAAAAAGTGTTCCTGTGTACTTATTCCTACACTAATCCTAAAAAATAGACTTGGTATGAGTCTCAAATGGTACATCATCCTATTGAGTAGTTCCACTGAACCAGATGTTAGCTGCATGTGGACAGAGGTCAACTGCTGAAATGGTAGAAGCAGCTTATTTCTCATGAGTCTGCTTAAGATACAATCTCTCGGGTGTCTTGATATCTGAATGATCACAGAATGGTCAAGGTTGGAAGGGACCTCTGGAGGTCATCTGGTCCAACCCCCCTGCTCAAGCAGGGCCATCTAGAGCTGGTTGCCCAGGACCGTGTCCAGACCATTTGTTGATATCTCCAAGGATGGAACCCCCCCAGCCTCTCTGGGTCACCTGTTCCAGTGCTCAGTCCCCCTCACAGTAAAAAAAAAAAAAAAAAAAAGTGTTTCCTGATGTTCACATGGTACCTCCTGTGTTTCACTAAGTCTTGTTCAAATCAGTAGGACTTCAAAGTGCCAGAACTGAATACTTCCTATTTTTACAGGAGCATTTAATAGGTTCAGCATAGATTTTCATGTCCAGCTGATTGCAGAACACTATTAGAGAATGATCTGCAGCAACTACATGATTTAGATTTGTAGCTAGTAGTGACTAGATAGTAGCAAGCCTTGTACAGTAGAAAAAAATGATTGTACAGTAGCGAAACCAGTAACCCTCTTTCAAACAAAGGAAGCCTTTAAATACAAAGAGAGGAGGTGTTTTATGTAGGAAGGTAAAGTTAATCTGGAGGAACAAAATTGAATTTGAATTAATGAAGAGAAGAGGAAACTCACATAGGAAGCATATTCTTAAACAGTCTGTCAGTAAAAAGAGAAAGCAAATAATTTTTAGTACATGGCCAAAACTGTTGGTATACCTTTAAAAGGGGCCTGATGCTTTTAGCTTGCTAAAATTAATATTAAAGGGTTTTTTTGTGGTTTTTTTTTTAAGTAATTAAACATTTTAAATTACAGCATGTATTTTCTCTGCATTATAAGGCATGTGCAAATAAGGGCATTTACCCTTCATAGGCAGCAGAGATAAGGCAGCAGAGAGATGTGGACAAGAGATGTAACTTTTCCAGAAGAAAACTGGTAATAAGATAATGTAAATGGACACTTGACTAGGACCTTCGTGCAATTCAAAAGCAGAGTGTGCCCATAATTCCTTTTATGGGCTAGCAGCTCTCACTACTTAAGCCAGACCAGTACAATTAAGAAATCCCAGGAATATATGTAGGACAAATGTCTGTATCCATTTTGCATATATTTATAGGATTTGTATTCCTTTGAGGGAAAACTGAGTAATATTCCATTGTTCTGTTATATGTTTAACAGAAATCAAAATAATTTTTTAGTGACACTTCTTAACGTCAGTGGGCTTTTGCTTGCAAATCCTAGTAGTAACAAGAGAAAGTCCAAGACATTTATCTAGTCTTAAGTGAAAAAGCCTGCATAGAACTCTGTATTTATGTGTAATGTGTATTTGTGCTTGCACATCCACACACATAGTAGTCATACAGAGTTGCACTGATTTTGCATGTCAGAGACGGGATGAGACCTTTCATTTGTGGAATATTTTTCCCTGCTTTTAGTGATTGAACTTGGTGAAGCATGTGATGTCATGAGGGTTGACTGTATCACATGATTACTAAAGATGCACGCCATTTTGCTTTTGTCTTTTTGGATGTTTTCCCTGTCTTGCAGTTAACATGTAGGTTCTGAGTAAAAGTTTTAAGTGGATTCAAAAAAGGAAAGTGTGTGGCCATTAGTGGCTATTAAATATGGTTCTCCAGATGTGACTTATGGCTCAGGAAGTTGTAAATATTGCTGTATGTTTATCTTGTTTCTTTAACTTTTTTTCTGTGCATCTACCACTGAGATGATGGAACTTCGATGTGACTTAGAAGGGCAGATCTTATATGTGTATAGTAAATAAATGAGCAGTTGCTAAACAGCCTGTCTTATGATAAAATTTGAAATCTATTGAATTCCTAATGCTGGGCTTCTTTTAAGTGCCAAAGGGAAAGAGCTGTGGGAATGAAGCGCGTAGAGTATGATCTGTAGTCTTCCACAGGATCAGTACCGACTTGTGCTCTTCTGCTCATTTTCAGTAGGTAGAACTTAATGTGTTTTTTGGTAGGAAAAATTTAAATATCAGGTGAATGTTGTATGGAGAACACCTAAAAGAAGTGTGTTCTGCACACAAAAAAAAGCATGTTTGTTTATATATCAGTATCTAGACACTCCTTTGTGATAGCGCTTGCTTAATGTGGGTTGACTTAGGTCTTTGTTCTAAAATAGGGGAAGGGCATTGACAGCATAAAAAGAAGAGCATTTTGGAGATTACTTGGGTTTTGTCGTATTTCTCCTATGTTCTCATGAATGTAGGTAATACTTCAAAAAAGCTTATTAAAAAATCAGTTGTACTTAGGCTCCTGATCCTAAATGATACTAAAATAAAATGTGTGTCAGCTCTGTGTAATCGGAGGCACCTCAGTAGTACAGTCTCTGTTGAAAGGGAACAAAGTCCAGTAATGCTTTAAGCCCTCTTCAGGGTGGAAGCAGGTAGATTGATTTTGACTTTTTCTAACCTATATCAGTTATACAAATTGCTATGTTTGTTTTTATCCTCACTACTGGGTGGAGTTGAAAATGCTGAGATCTCCTGCTTCCTATGAGATTTCATTGGATTAGCCCTGAAGAAATTTGGACTCTGCACCAATGACCAGAATTCTACATTAGAGTAGAGCTGATAAGCCTCTCATGCCACATGGTATATTATACTCTCATATAACTGTCTTTAGTACTAATAAAGATTCTCATGTGATAATTTAGCTCTGGCACTTAATTTAAGTGCCAGTTTAATTTAAGTGACAATTTAAGCTGGCGCTTAGGTTTAACTAACTAATCAGGAGTGTCCCTTTTGTCAAAGGAAACGGTGTTACGCTGCCAGAGCTTTTGAAATGCTTTTCCTTGTCCCCACGCACTGCCATAGTCTTGCTTGAGTTTATCTCCTCAGCACTGGGCCACCTTAATTGTGTTGACACGTAGGTGTGTGTGGCAGAGGACAAGTAAACTTGATGCCATCTAATTTAGTCATTGCTGTCAAACTAAGTTTCCTAATAGCTTCATGTTAGCATTGAGAAGACTACTTGAGCGTGTTGATCCTTGGGGAAAATCTGCAGGTAAGAACTCTATTCTGAAGCTAGAATTCCCCTCCCGTCATTTCTTGGAACCATTCCCTCCAGAGGAATTCAAAGCACAGAGAAAATATGCATTCCCTTTTTTATATTTCTCTCCTCTGCAGTCTCATCCTGATCGATTTTTTGGTAAGTGCTATCTGTATACAGTCTTTTTACTCCATACCAGTTACAGAGCTTGGGGAGTGCTGCTGCCTTAGAAGTCCTGCAGCTGCAGCAGTGCTTCTCCTATGGGAGGGATGGGTAACTCAAGTGGGTATTCTGGTGAGAAGAACCAGGGGAATAGGTGGACCTGAGAGGAATGGAATAGAGGGTCTGAAATGAGTGTGAGAGAATGCTAGAGAGGAGTGGAGTTAGTGAGTTCTGGGTGGGATAGGGAAAAACAAAGGGGGGTTTGGGAGAACTTCAACGCTCTGAGTGGAGAGGCTGGGCCAGAAGTCTCCCTTCAGTCAGCTACTCCAGCTAGAGCCACTTTTAAAGGCAGAAGGACATACCTAACACTGCTACCATACCTTTGCTGTGTTAGACTTTAGTCCTACCTTCTTTTCTGCGCTCAGGAACTGGTAAGTCCTAGCAGAGGGATCAAGAATGAAGGTGGTTATCTACCATTTCTCCACTAGCCGCAGGGCTCATCGCTGTAGTCGCTGTTGTAATTTCAGCTTCTTGTCCTGGCCTGCAATCAGACCATTGTGGATGTCAGATATTTGTGTCAGACAGATAAGTTTTAATTTAACCTTCAGCTCACTTCTCCGGCAGTTTTAATGTTGGGAAGAGTTTCCGATTTGAAGTAATGGGAAAAATAATAATGTTTTTCTTCCTGACTGAGGGAATAAATGTATTATTGTGATTCTCTAGCACTCATAGTGCTCTGGGGGGAAGGGCTTA